TCTATAGCCTTGTAAGTAGAAGGAAAGCGACATTTTAAATGTTGATTTATAAAATAAAGAGATGAGAATGATGGTTCTTTTACTCCAGCTTTGTCCCCTTTCCCAGATATAAATCAAATTAAATAATTTGTGTATGTGTGGACTTCCAGATGTATTGGAATCCAACTCTTGTGGCCATGCTCACTGGGGGTTGAGGGGAATATAATCTAAGTATCTAAATCGACTGGGCCATGAAAAAGGCCCAGACCTAAATCATTTCAGGTAGTCCTCAACTTGGTGCTTGATCTGTGGAAATGCCCCGATTCTGCTTTGTACTTGCAGGCTGGACTCCAGGATCCTATAATGCTTGTTCTCCATAGTGAGGGGAGGATTTGTGACCTGTCCTTGCATTTGCAACTTTTGCAGAACTATAAAGCAGAGAAAAAGCTCTAGCAATTTTGGTTTCACCTAGTGACCATTTCGCTTAAGGATTGAGTTGCGGGTCTCGGTTATGGTCACTAAACAAAGACCATTTGTTTATGTAGGGCTGGTTTGAAGATTCTTTATAATATTGGGATTGGTGACTAGTTTTGGTATTGTGAAACCAGATAACAAACTTCACTGGCTGTTATTTATCATCATTAGCAGATAGCTTTGATAAATGAAGCTTTTCAGGGCTCAGGGTTTTGTTATCTATCTCCCGGTGTCTGCTTGTAAGTTATGATCTTCTGATTAGGTATTTTTGATAGCACTACCATCATTATCGTCATTGAAAACCCATAGTAATAGCTTTTTGTGGTGTCAACCTGACCTGATCTTTCTCTTTTTGCTTTTAGAATTGACCCCCAGCCCTCGTCTCCTTTCATAAGATCCTGAAGACTGTGTCAGGCCTGGAAGCCATCTTTTGCATTGGGCTATCAGGGCTGCCACAATTAATGCTGTGGGAAAATGGGGTGGTGGTGGTGGTTATATGGAGTATGGGAGATATATAGTCAAAATAACATTCCTTTCTCAGAGAGTCAAGGACACCTTGCCCTGCAGCTGTGATGATGTGACTGGGAGGTATCTCCAGTTGGGACGGTGCCTGATTGGACCATATGATGGACATATGGGTGGTGGGCAGGGACTTGAACTTTCACTTGGGTGGAAGTTTTATATTTTTTCTTGCTTTTTTCTTGCTTTTAAAATTATTGTTAGCCACTTTCAGTTGTTTGGGAGTTTTTGATGATATGTATGTATGTGTGTGTGTGTGTGTGTGTGTGTGTCTATATATATATATATATATATATATATATATATACACACACATACACACACACACATACATACATACACACACACACACACACATATACACACACATAACAATCATTGGATTTTAAATGTTATTGTAAAATTGGGGATTATGTAGGGAATATTATAATAGAGGATAAGATATAAGAAATTTTATTAATCAGTACTTCTTGTTTTAATTGTATTAAAAAGTGGAGGTGTCTTTGTAGATTGAACTAAATAATATAAATAATTGACTCCAGACTATTCTATACCAAATATATTACACACATATATTAAGCTTCTAGTCACTGTCTTTAATAGGAGTCTCATTATCAAACTCATGTGCTGTTACAGATGCTTGTAACTTAGATATCTAGATTAAGAGGGATGTAAGATGAAGATAAGTCTGTATCTTTGCTCTTCCTAGTGCTGGTCTATGATCATAAATAAAATTTAAAAAGCTTTTTTGCCTGCATAGGTGGAAATCCATGACATTTTGCTATCTTTAGTAGTCATACTTATTTTTCTTTCTTTTCTGCATAAAAGACTCAATATCCAAAGATAATGTTATTGTACGTTTCATACATGTTATATCTAACTTGGCCCCAGTTGAGGAGACACGTTCAAAAATGTTACCTAATCTGGTTCTCTATTAACTTTTCTAAATAGAAACTAAATTTCCATTCTCTTCCCCCCCCAAAATTAAGCAGTGATGAGAAGTGACTTTTCTAACATATACTTCTACTACCTTCTATCATCTCTTAATTAGCTAGAATTAGTTTTGTCTATATTTGGTTAGAGAAATGGGAGAAACTGATAGATAATGTTTTTCCTAGCTTTGAATATTTCTGGGAACACAAAGCAAAAGCCCAGTTTATTTTACGTATATCAGTTTACATTCCAGTTTTCTGCTCAGAGGGTACTTAATACATCAAAGCAAAGTTAAGTAAGGCTTACTGCTATTTACAAGCATATTTGGAAGTTTTTTTGAAGTAGTTAAAAACACAAGTGATGTTAAATTGAACTAAGACACCTCTAGTCATAATTGTTACAGTAGATCAACATTATTTCCTTGATCTTGGTGGCTTCTCCCTTGTCTTCCTTTATATACAAAACTAAAATTAGCAACAATCAGCAAGCCAGCTTTGACAAACCATTTAGAATTAGAAATCCTATGATTTTGAGCTGGCTTTTGAATATTAAAGCCAGCTTGTGATGTTTAAAGTAAAGCTGCTTCTTCTACTTATGCGCTAGTCATTCTCGACTCTAAGGGGTGGTGCTCATCTTCGTTTCAAAGCCAAGGAGATAGCGCTGTCTGAAGACTTCTCCGTGGTCATGTGGCCGGCATGACTAAATACCAAAGGCACACGGAACACTGTTACCTTCCCACCAAAGGCGGTTCCTATTTTTCTACTTGCATTTTTACATGCTTTCAAACTGCTAGGTTGGCAGAAGCTGAGACAAGAAACGGGAGCTCACTCTGTTACACAGTGCTAGGGATTAGAGCTGCTGACCTTTCTGATCGACAAGCTCAGCATCTTAGCCACTGAGCCACCACGTCCCTAGCTTGTGATGTTTACTAACTCTAAAAATACAACTTTCCCTGAGGTTGCCAATCTTTTAAACCTTGAGGCATCCAAATATGTTGGACTAAATCTCACAGGCTTCTTTGGGAATGTGGTAGTTAGTGAAAAATATAGTTCATTGTAGACTGGAAAGATGAATTCATATACCTAATTTGATTTCTTTGTGTCAATTAATAGGCTTCTGCAAGAAAATGCTAGGTTTGTGATTAGCAAGAGTTTAGTTAATATGATAGTTGTTTTTAAGGGCTAAAACCAGGCTTGGGACTGAGGTGAAAACCAGAGGGCATGAGCCTGTTTGGTTAATTTTATAATTGTCAGTTGTAACCAGAAGACATGTCAGTGTTAATAAGCATGTTTTTGTAGCAAATTTTGTTTTTTATGTACCAAAAAGAAATGCTTGGTTTTGACACTGTGGTGTATAGTCTTAACACTATTCCAAGCATCAGACCTCTATTCCTTTAATTGCTTCATTCTAACCTCTAAGAGTAGTCACATTTAATTTCCCACTTCAACTTGGGTTTGCTTTTCAAAGATCTTCATTTCTGAAATGTGGGTTGATATTGACAAAGGACATCTTCTAAGAAATGTCAAAAGATAGATTTTAGTCACCACAACTTTATTTTGCACTGGTAATCTGCTGATGCAGCCTTTTAAACACTCTCTTTTCATCCAGTTACTGCATTGTAGTAGTAGTATATAGTATCAGTATCTCTTCTTCGCTACCCTTATCTACTGCAGGGATGAAAAACAAAATGCAGCATCTCCTTTTGCTTAAAAAATAGTGTATGTGGTGTATTCTACTTTGCCATCTTCTTCAGTGGTACTGCAATGAATTGTTCTGGAGGGAGTAGTAGGTTGCTCTCTAAATGGAGGTCCCTGATCCCCATTGCTGTTAGGGAAAGGGCTATAGAACCTTTTCAAAATGAAAACCTTAATCTGTGGGCTTTCTATGAGCAATTCCTGAAAATATAAAATTAGCAGCCAAGTTCATTTTGAGGTCATGCACCTAGATTCTAAACCTGAGGAGCAAGGGATGTCTGATTTTTGTTGTTATGTGAACTGTTCTGGGAATCTCTCAAGATGAAATGTGGGGTATGGGCTTCAAATAAAGCTATAACTTGAAAAAAGGGCTAAGTTCAGGTTGAAGTCCAATTATAGATGAAAATTTCATGGTTTAAAATAATTCATTACAGTGGTTTAATAAATTAAGCCACATTTGTTAAGTGTTAAGTCTATCCTCACTTTGAACAAATGTACTTGGATACATGGATATTGTAGGAGTCATGCTGGTCTGTGGTGGCAAAAAAATCAGGAGGAATCTTATAGCACCATTTTCTAACACATTTTATTAAGAAAGTACAATATTTCATGAGCTGCAGCATCTGATGAACTGAGCTTACCTCACAAAGGCATATATGTGTCAATAAAATGTGTTTGTTGGAAAAAATGCTCCTTCTGATATTTTTTTTAGATATATGGAGAGGACCAAAATTGCCTTCTCTTTAAATAGTGGAAAATAATTAAATATGGGTGAAAAACAGGTTTGTAGAAATTATCCATTCTACTTTCGTTGTGAATTTGGAACATTGTAAGAACCTAACAAGGCTTGCAAAGGCCTGACTTGGAATCCAGATCAGAAATGAAGTTTAGAAGAGTGAAATTTCACCCTGTCATTGTTTAGACTGGGGAAAACTCAAAATAGTTTTAAGTTGTTATAAAGGTTATAACTATTTGTGTTGCAGTACAAGGGGAATGATGGACACTCCATTTTCTTCAATGAAAACGTACAACAAGCAATATCGGGCTATAAAAACTTCTTTTTAATTTGCCCTTTTCACTGCTTGAGATGTCATGCCCCAATAGTGAAACTTAGCAAAGAATGAAGCAAAGCATTTTTCTTTCAGTGTTTCTCAACTCTTTACAAACACTGTCACTGCCTGGATTTCAATCTATTTTGTCCACCAGTGTTAAAATCTGTTCCATATTAGCCCGATTCACCTTGGACTTGGGGTTTCAGGGAGATGCACTTCTAATAAGAATAGAGTAGAGTAGAATAGTTGGAAGGGACCTTGGAGGTCTTCTAGTCCAACTCCCTGCTTAGGCAGGAAACCCTACACGACTTCAGACAAATGGTTATCCACATTTTCTTAAAAACTTCCAGTGATGTAAATTGAGTGTTTTTGTAGGCAATATGATAATTTAATTAGGCTGAATTAAGATTAGGCATTCAGCTTGTTTGAGCCTGCAACTACAATCCTTTTGAAGTTCTGGCATGTGGTCCAGTAGAACCCATGAACCCAAGATTTCCCAATGGCAACAATAATCCATAAATCCTTGGCCTGCTACTCAGATGCTTCCTTTTCTAGAGAAACACAAATTTAATAGTCTAAACAGAACTAATTGTAGTTGTGTTTAAAATTGGCTTTGAAAACTTTTCAGAAACTTTAGTAGGTTCAACATATGATAGTCATATCACCCCCATTTCTTTTCCAGATGCATTGGTGTGAATATCCTGCAGAATCGAAAGATAGCCAGATCTTTATTATTGGCATGCAGTGCACAATGACGTATGCTGCATGGAAGATGTAGTATGATTAGTACAAGGAATAATTACAGTGTAAAGATAATTGTAATTTAAACATGATAATAGTCCTACTTTGTTAAATTAGAGGTATAATTGAAATATCTGCAGAATTGTCTTTCCCAATAGAATTGGCCTGCTCTACTTCATTAAGGCCAGAAGGGACTTACTGTGGATCCCATCAGCCAAGAAATTTCGACTGATGTGATACAAGAAAAGAGCCTTCTCTGCCATTATGGCTCCAGCTGTTTGGAAAATCTTGCCATACAAGGTAAAATCCGAAGAGAATCTCTACCCTCAAACACAAAAAAATAAATATTAACTCTTACTTTTGACCTTGAAAAGATTTCCTACTTGATTTAATATAGACCTGTTTTGGTCGCATGCAAGAATAAATATCCTCAAAGATGCCAAATAAAATTCTTTCAGTTTATAAGAATTACCTAGCTGGCATATTTGTAAACTAAAATAAAACTTTCTTTTTCAGAACGATTAAAGAAAGGAAAAACTATTGTAAAACAATGACTGTGGCTGATTCTCACCAGTGCTTGTGGGAAGATTGTGGTCTTTCCTTTTGTACATTTAAATGTGCCACTGACTACTATCCAAAATTACTAGATGTACAAAAATGAACAGAAAATAGCCTGTATTTAAACCAAGGCTCTGCAACAGTCAGATTTGACAGGAAAGAGGTTCTTTAATAGTGTAGGGTAGTCATGTAGCAGGTGTCAATACCTCTTTAAAGCAGCTGCATATATTTCTCCGACTGTGGGGGTGCTCCTGCAGTTGCTCCCCAATCCCAGAAGATATATGTTTGAATTCAGAAGTTGCCAACAGATTCTGTGATCATGTTCCAAAGGACCTTTTCTCTTTTGAATTGAAAGTGTGGCCTAAACCTACTTTCAAGCTAAAGTTTAAAAAAAAGGCACAGATCAAGAATTTATCTAAAAGTTATCTAATAGAAAACATTAAATATACAATAGCGACCAAAACTGTGTAAACCTTTTGGAAAAAACGTACAATACTTCTGAGGTTTGACAGCTAATAACACCACTTTTTTGGGAGTAGTACCATAAACCTATATATCAATGGAAAGATAATTTAATCAAGAATGTAATGCAATAACTTTTATGAAGGGTTTTCTATTAGAATAGCAGTTATAAAGAAAAAGTGAAATACGTAAAAAAAATGAGATATACAAAAATTATCACCATGTCAATTAATACTTAGTTGGGTAACCTTTAGCATGAACCATCTTCCCATGGAGTAAACCAAGTCTTTTAGTTCTGCAACTGTTATAATGTGAAACCAAGATTGAATGATTGCTTCTATTAACTGGGTTTTATTGCTCTCTATATTTGGCTATAACTTTTCATAAAATACAAATAATTGAACAAACTTTGTTGCATTACATTCTTGATTAAATTATCTTTTCATTGGTATATAATTTTATGGTACTACTAAAGAAAGTGGTGTTATTAGCCATCAAACCTCAAAAATACACTTTTACCAAAAGGTTTCCAACAATTTTGGCCACTACTGTAAGCTTACTTGGAGCCCACTGGCCATTCAAGTGGAAGGAAGCATGTGTGTGTGTGTGTGTGTATGTGTATGTATATGTATATGTAATGTTCCCTTTTTGAAAAATGTCAGCTGACTATAGTACCTATGGAAGGATGTTTGTTGGACAAATGCACACACACACTTGATCTTAGCCAAAAGGCCGAGAAGCGATGGACAAATGGAGAAACAACTAGCACAGCCAATCCATAGAAACATTTCTAATCATTTTACCAAGAAATAAAATAAGGAGGGGGGAATCCATCTTGTAACCAATCGTTTTTTTCCTACTATAGGCTAGAAGGAGAAAAGTCAACAAGAATAATTTTGCTACACTTACAGAAACAACCACAAACTCAAATTTAGCAGGATTAGGTAGGCTACATCAAGGGGAAAACGCGCAGAAGCATAAGATTTTGAGAGTTGAGGAAAAGAGTTACATTATCAAGAACAGTAAAAAAAAGTATTTTGTTCTCTTCTGGGCTTAGTTTGGAGAGTAAACATAGGCTAATGCCCTTAGATCAGTGTTTCTCAACCTTGGCAACTTGAAGATGCCTGGACTTCAACTCCCAGAATCCCCCAGCCAGCATTTGCTGGCTGGGGAATTCTGGGAGTTGAAGTCCAGACATCTTCAAGTAGCCACGGTTGAGAAACACTGCCTTAGATATTATCAAATACATACTTTTTTGGAACATTGCTTGGTGGGTGGGTGAGTGAAGAGCTGTTTGGCAACTAGTCAGGGTTAGGAAAGTCCCTGAGTAATAACTCAAATTCTAAGCTAATTCTCTGATTAATTCAACATCTGTTCTGCTGGGTTTAGTCAAATCATTTTATTTTAATGACTCATTAGACCTTATTTGTTATTTATGGAGTCATGTACTAGGACTGTTCCTGATACAAGGGGACATTTACTAACATTGCTGTAAAAATGACTTTTGTTCATTTTTTTCTCCACTTTTACCAGGAATGCTTGTTTCTAGGTTGTTGCATCACTTTTTCAGGATCTGTATTATACTTCCAGAATAGTGGAAGTAGTTAGTTCAGAAGAAGTAGTGTTCCATGCTGGAGATGGGAAGTATTTAATTTTTCCAAGTATTTCAAAAGATAGCCGATCACATTTTAATAGCAGTTGTTTCCATGGGTCTCTGTGCTGTGGTCATTGAGTAGCATAAACCTCTTAAATATGTACAGCTATTACCTCAAATGATTCAAAACTTGCTTTTTTGGGGAGGGGGTTGAGTGTGCATTAGAGGCAAGTCCACAGTTGCATTTGTCTTGCTGGCCTCTAAAGGACATTCACACCTGCAGCCAAAAATAAAAACAACTGTTGTGCTAGACCAGTGATGGTGAACCAATGGCACGCGTACCACAGGCGGCACACATAGCCTTCTCTGCAGGCCAGCCATTGCCCAGCCCAGTTCCACCAGGCATGCGCATGCACCTCCCGCCAGCCAACTGCTCTCCAGGTCTCTGCTGCACAAGCGTGGTGGGCAGGGTGCATCTGGGGGACACGCAGGCATATGTTTGGGGGGTGGGGCACATGTGGAGGACACACGGGTGCATGCGCAGAGGGCGCTTGCATTACATTTGGGGGGGGGCACACGCTTTGGGCACTTGGCACCAAAAATGTTGGCCATCACTGTGCTAGACCAATGCATTGTTTGGGGCCATTTTTTCTTGTTCAGTATGTATAGGTGGCAGAAAGGGATGGTGTTCCCTCTAGTTCCCTCTAGCTAAGCAACATGCTGCAGATTGCTTTTTTAAAACCTAGGTTAAGAATCCGAGGCAGGAAACAGGTTGTCTTTTGAAGTTGTTCTCTTGGAATAACTTGGAGTAGGTTCTTTGAAAATGTGGAATGGAAAATTGTAGGTGGCCATCATACTGGCTTTTATTTAACAAATATTTTAACTTTTGAATTAAAACAGCTGGGGAAAAGACTTTAAGCATGCTGAATCTGTGGTTGATTCTGAGTTCAAAACTTTGTGTGGAAATGTTTGCATTTTATGGAGTATTAGTAAATAATAAAGTATAAACAGCTTAATTGCATACACTTTTATTATTGCAACTAACAAAAAGGGAGTAAGAAACTCTGAGATATTACTAAATCTAGCAGAAACACATGATATGAGGCCTCAGTGACTCAGAAAAGCACCCAGAAGTATAGTCCCAGAGCCTTGGAAAGTTGCCACCAGATTGTAATTTTAATGAGAAAGAATAGGAAAGTTAGTGCATTTTGAAGAAGCACAACCATATTTCACAAAACATTCATATTTAATGAATGAATGAAAATTAAAGCTAACCCATTTTCTGTCCTAATTGTATTTTTCTTTTAGAAATGCAGCAGCCTACTCTTGCCCTTGATCCTAATCTTGCCCTAGCATTCCTGAGGGTATACCATGTCTAAACATTTCTGCCCATCTGTTTTTTAAGTATAGTCTGTCATGTAAAAAGAAAAATAATATCTATGTATTTTATATTCAACTGCTATAACATTGATTCAGGTTGTGTGGCATTCATTTATACTAATTTATTAAAAATGGAAACACTGCCAGCCCATATCTCTGGCTGCAGAATTAAACTGCAGTTTGTTAAAATAGAGAATGGGTTATAGTTTATAACATTTCAAAGCAGAATCCAGTTATTTTCCGGAGCGAGGGACAGGAGGCTCCAGTGGATGGTATTAACATGCCCAATTGGCCATGAGACTGGGATGAAGCTGAAGCCATGCCTCTATGCTCCACCCTTTACTTCCAGTTGCATCTCAGTCCGGCAAAAAAACAGACCTATTATTTTTCTCTCCTGTATTCCTTAGGAATCACTCTCTCCTTCTGCCAGTAAGTTGCCTGGTTGGGGCATTCTATTTCTGACCTCCAGGGACACTATTTGCCTTGCTAAAGGCTGGGAAGGCTCGGTTGCCATTGCGGCGAGCCGTTTGGAGCCGCGCCAGCCATGTGGCGGCAGCTCTGGTCCCTGAGCGATCCGGATTTCCAGCCCCACGGCCTCTCGTCGCTCTAGATTGTGGGAGCTTTGGCAGCTGAAATAGATCCACAGCGACGCTGGGAAGAGCGCAAAGTCTTTTTGAGGCAGTGAGCTGTGGAACGGCGAAACGGCACGTGAGCATTTCTAGCCAAGAGAAACCTCAGCGGCAGTCCTTGAAGCCCGCCGAGCTCAGCGCTGGCATTGGGGCTGCCTGGGAGGTAAAAAGACAGCGTTCTTTTTACTTTTCCCTTTTTTCTTGCCTTGCTGCAGCTGAAGAGTGAAGAAGAGAGAGCATTGAGGAGGCTTCGCTTGGTGGTCCATGAATATTGCCATGGGGCAAATGGAGGCGGTGCAAAGGTCCCCTTCTCCCCCACCCTCCCCTGGGGAGGGCCAGTCTTTCAGGCAGTGCTCTACAGCCTCAGCTAGGGCTCAAGTTAGTAGTGGTGGTGCATTTTTGGCTGATGCCACGTTGAATGCCATGAAGTTCGCTTCCAGGGCAATGGTATCATCCGTTACCTCTCGTCACCTTCTTTGGCTCCGGGGTTGGCAAGCGGACAACAAGTCAAAGTGGCAGCTTGCGTCAGCTGACTACACAGGGGGCTCTCTCTTCGGAACTGTCCTTGACCCGCTCCTCATGGAGGACAAGAATAATAAGAACGTGC